TGCACCGGTTGGTTGACTCTGAGGCTTACTAGTTTTTGCTTTGCTTAACGTTAGAGTGTAGGTTACTAAACCCATGAAATTGAATATTAAATCATAGAGGATTTCGTGAATAATTCGTAAAGAGTCCAATATCAGTGAACATAGTGTTGTACTTCAAGGTGGTGTCTTGATCCTTTGGCTGAGTATAATCACATCCAATGAAAACTCCTCATTACAGAATGAAGCCATTGGATTGGATATAATGACAACCGTTCGCGATATTGATGGCGTTCGCGATATTGATGGATTACCTTAGTTTATATCCATCCATTGGGACAGGTGCTATTTCACAACCGGTTGATCCACTGTCAAAATTTCGTGAATCCATTGCGGCATACAAATATCAATACTTCCAATATACTTCCAAGCCAGCTAACACTATAGAATTGGTGTCCATATAAATAATTACTAGTACTAGTAGAGGGATAACTTTTATAGTTTATTGACCCACTTGAAGGAGCGATAAGTCGACAACCAACACGCTTCACGGCATACAAAAAACTGCTAAGGGCGGTCGGATGCCACAAAAAATAGCATAAAATAGCCGTTTTTCGAAGAAAAGTTGCCAAAATCAAAATATTCCATTTTTCGAGATTTTGTGCATCTGGATGCCACCAAAGTTCAAAATGTTATGCCACAGTTTCTTGAGAATCGGGTGTTTTATGGCATAAATAAAATGGACCGATTTGGTCCAACTTTTTATGGAGGTTTGTGTTCATGTTGAAGCTTGCACTTCAATGGGAAATCGAATAATTCAACTTATATTCTTCTTTTCTCTTTTTTTCATGGCATTTTCAACTTTAGGAAAAATTTTGCAGACTTGCCAAAATGGTTTATCGCATAATTTGTGGCATCCAGACCAGCGCTAAACATAGTAAAATTGTTATATTGGGTTATGCAGCACAAATGTGAGCGGCTTGTCTAATCAATATTGAATCACGCTGGAGTTCTGATTGGTTGAATATACTTGTCCTCTCTGTAAAGCCAATCAAATCCGCGGGGTCTGGAAATCTGTACCGGCTCCACAATGCATTAGTTTCATCACACACTCCTCCACCATGTCGATATCGTCGGCAGGGTCAATTGTATCATCCCCAGCAGAACTACTTATCAAAACGTTGGGCCAACGTGTCAACTACTAGATCTACAGTACTACACACTACACATTTTTCGGTGAATTTCAGCTTTTTTTCATTATACTTCGCTTAGCTTGCAGTATGTTTCACGAGACCACCGATATATTTCGACCACCTCCATTTACAACTTTTCATTTCGTGGCGACCTCAAAATTCACGTTTAAATTTCACCAAACCAGCGGTATAATTCGATCAAGAGCTTTTAATAGCAGAGGACATCGAACGTAGAAATATATCGGATGCTGGGTGAAATACATCGACGAAAACTGAAAGTAGACGATAGTTGGTTCAATTTTTGCGACATACAAACATCAATACTTCCAATATACTTTCAAGCCAGCTAAGGATTCAAGAAATTTTGCAAAGTGGGTCGACCGGTTGTGAAATAGCACCTGTCCCAATGGATGGATATGAACTACTGGTACACTTACTTATCGGGACAGGAAATAGGGATGTCCCGAATTGCGAATTGGAACTGGATCAGGAGCAATCGTAAGTAGGTAGTGTACAGAACGCACCGAAGCACTGAAGGCCAACAGTTACTATACTGCATCGATTATGACGCCTTCATTCCAACTCTATGCCCAGCGATGAAACATGGACCAACGACAACACGACATATATCCCGTTCGTATATACCATATTCAATTCAATGCTTCACCCTTCTGCATTATTTACCTCAACAAACAAATCTACCGATAGTAAATGATCGTCAGATACCAACGACATCCCCCAAGACACCTTCCACCACGTCGACTTGCTTTGGTTGATCATTCTTCGGGAAAGACAATCCCACCCTCGTTGCCCTCGAAAGTCAAAACTTCATCGGCAAATTGACTGTGAGTCAACGCTTTGAAGACTTCCTCGCCGCGGGTACGGATGGTCGACGCGGGGACGACAAACTTAGAACCAGCCACTTCGATGGTCAAGACGGGCTTCTTGTACGTGCGGTAGATGTAGTCGTCGAACGCCCCGATCGCAACTCCAAAGGAACCCGCCGTCTGGCCTTTCTAGTTACGATCGGCTGCGTCGGCAACTTTGCCGCCGAGCACTTTAAACTTTTTATCGTCGTCGTTACAGATAAGTTCCTTCGTGTCACCATTAGGGTACAAGATCTTCCCCGCGAAGGAATGCACGTCCACACAACCGACGACTTCTTCTTCTTGAGCCACTCGTCAATACCCGTAGTTTCCGGCTCGCTCAACGCACCCGTGCCATGGTAAGTTTCGTTCGTGGGGTCTTTGTCGTTTTCGGGATGATCGAAGCGCGCCGGCCAGTTGCGGTTCAAGTCGACTTCGTTGGCATTCTTGCGCTGCAACCGCTTGCCCTTCGTCCACGAGATGTCGTACCCGTCAATGTTGACGATCGGTACAAAGTACAAGTTGAACAACTCCGCCGCCGTCTGTTGCGTGTTGGCAATGCCGTCCAGGATCGAAGCCAACGCATACAAATTGGACGACCCCGCGACCCATTCCCGGGCGTGGAGCAGACTTTGGAAGTACAACGACTTGGGCTTGGACGCGCCGTCGGTCAGTTTGTACGCGTAGATAGTCTTTCCTTGGACGGTGGTCGAAATGTTTTCTTTTTGTCAGCAATTTCGGGTTCTGCTCCACCAATTTATTCACGTACTCAAAGATTTGGTCCGACGTGCGGAAACATTTGAAGAATTTGCTGTCCTTGTACTCGCCAGCTTTCAACGTATCGATGTACCCGTCGTTGGCCGCTTGGACTTCGGCGTCGGTGCGGAGTTTTCTGTCCGGGCCTTGTGCCAAGGCAGTGGTATCCGCCGCGGCAAATGTTACAGCCGTCGAGGCAAGCGCAAGAATGAGTTTTCTGTCGGGGCCTTGTGCCAAGTGGTATCCGCCGCGGCAAATGTTACAGCCGTCGAGGCATGGGAATGGTCTTCATGAAGCAAATTCGATAATGAGTACAAGGTTTGGGGGGCTCGTGTGTGTAGTAAGGGGGCAGCGTGGGTATCTTTTATATTCTCGTTTGGAGACAAGTATATGTACAGTATACTAATACAGTACTGTACTAGTACGATGGGTCCTCAAAATTGTCTATTTGACTGTGAGAACCGACTTTCTGGGTTGCCATCTCGAGTAAGTCCCTGAGAGCAACAGCTCCACTGTTTCTTACGAAGCCAGCTCCCTTCAAAAGAGCCATTAGGGCATCCCCACCGGTGCGACTGTATAATCAGACTGTAAAATACCGTTTTACATTTCCTGTATTTTGATTTTGTCAACCCCAGCGGTAAAACTGTAAAATATCCGAATAATGCTATTATCCGGAAATGAACGCCTGGCGCGATGGCGTGGGAGGACGACGATGATGACATGGATCAAGCTTGGGAGATTCTTGGCTTTCATCAGTCTTCTGCGCGCCCTAAAGGCTATATTGCCAACCGCCAGCCAGACCTACCACGAGATAGCGAGGCTGCGCATGCTCGGATTTACCTACTACTTTGACCCCAATCCAATCTACG